ATTTTGTCAACATCAATAAAATGCCATATAATCATATGTAACTCATTAAATATCGAAATTAGAAGAAGAAATTTACAAAAATTAATATTTACTGTTTTAGTCATTGGAGTTTGTCAAGAATTCCGGTGATCCTGCAGAAGGTGGATCAGTCTCCTGGTAAGTAGAATAAAAATTAGCTTCACTGAAAAGTGAAATTTTAAGTAAATGTTTTGCATAAAAATCCGCAGTCTACGAATCAGTTAAATAGTAAAGAAAGTCGATCGCTCTATCAGTTCGGTGTAGAAGCATTCTTGTGATTCTTTCGTGTTGCGAATGCTTCTCAGGCACGCTGTTCGCGCACGCGTTGCGTAATCGCGAGAAGTTAACGGGGAAGTTATCTTGGTTCCCAAGTTGGTAGAGCAAAAAAAAAAAGCTTCGAAACGTCAATAGTGAAGCCCGTCGGCTTATTTCCGCGCTGGCTATCCGTCTGTTAATCGAAACTCTCCGGGAGAGGAAAAAACACGCACGGGGAACCGGCGATTGAAACGCGTTAGTTAACAGGCGATAGAACGCCGTAAAAGTGGGACACGATAGCTGCCGTTTCAAGAGCAGAACTTCTATATGTGTATGAAGATCGGTCGCGGTCAACCTGGTAGAGAGCTTCCCGCGAAAGTTGGGACAAACGCAACGGAATGAAGGACGTATAGTTCTCTCTTTTGTTGAGGGAAAAAATCGCAGCAAGAACGGAGTAGACAATTTTTAATAGGAGCGAGTTTCAATCAAAGTTGAATTGACAAACATTTTTATTTTTGCTATAACTCAAAACGATTCCCGGCCCAATTTTCATGTACTCTTATGGTAATCAGCAATATGAATTTTTTAGAGAATGACAAAATCGTTTTTTAAAGTATTTGTTTTAAATGACAATATTGAAAGGTGGATGTCGATAATAAAAATTTAATTTCTGTGTCTGTGTGCATGCCGAGTAGCTAGGGAATTGTTTTCCGTAGCTATGCACGACGTTTATCGAAAACCTTTCGCGTTCCTTGAACGCAGCGAATCGCGTGCTCTCGCGTCCACCGGTTCATTTTATCATCGGCGATATTTCTAACCGTGTACAACAAGATAACGCGGCTATCCAACATGATATCGTCGCATACTTACATTCTCGAGCATTTAAATTTAATGGTGCGCACGTACTCGTTACGAGGTCGCCGAAATTCGAAAAAACAGACGCGTGTAAACGACGGTTTGCATCGGATCACGGATGCCTGGGGAAAAGAAAAGATTACAGTGATTACAACAACGTCACGTAGCCTGTAATATCGTTTTGCATTCGTCTCTCGTGCGTTTTCTATCTCGCTGCGCGTCGTCGACTCGTGTGCGCGCAATAAGCGCATTCTTTTCCACGGGTCTCGCGTGCTCAGCAGCAGCAGCAGCTCTCCTCGTGAGATAAGCGAGAGATGAAAATACCCGCGCGAAAATTGCACGACTCTCGCGTTGTAATATCGTCTGACCCCGTGTTGTACGATTTGCGATCGCCATCGCGGGGTGTGGCCGCGATTGAGAAACGTTACTTTAGAATAAAGAACGGCGTGAATTCTTGCTGTCCCGGATCATGGAGACTGGGTCGTTGCGTTATTCATGGTGTAAAAATTTGTCACAGAAAACTGTAATTTGTATAGGAAAATTATTTTTTCGTGTATTATTTGATATCTTGATCGGATTCAATTCCTCAAAGTTAGATGCAGGATTTGGGGTATTGCTTAATAAACTGCAACTCGAGACCGACGTTGCGCAGAAAACAAAACTCTATTTCTAATCGATACAACCGAACTGCTCGAGATAGAGCTTAACTATAACCCTTGAACTGTGGTTTATTTTCGGGCAGCACTGCTCAGGCAAACAAGTTAATTGCCTCAGTCGTAAGAGGAGGGATTGATATAGAAAGGTTTTGTTGCTCATATAACTTTTTATTACTGAAATTAATATTTCATTCATAAATAGATGACTATTTATTGTCGTCTGAGACAAACCACTTGAATATTTTCTACAGTTTTTGAGATAGGAAGAAATGTTTCAGACGAAAGTTGTTTGGTTTCGAGGGACACATTACGTGGTGTACATAACTTTTCTGCAGGTGGAGGTTCTCAGGAGATTTGGGGGTAAACTTTGTTTTTTAAATGGAATATTTTTTATACATCAAACGATGCAACGTTTATAAAGAAAGATAGTAACCTATGTATGTCGAAAAGCTAGCAGTTTAGGAGATATTTGAATTTGAGTAGTTGTAAAATTCGTACGTACAAATGTAGAAATTATTCAGATAAGTTGCCTTAGGCGACTCACCCTGTATAAATATTAGAACATAATTAGTGTCGAGAAATTCTTTATAGCAAATATAAGGTAGAATAAGATTGTAGTATGAAAAGGAATCAATGAAAATATATTGTACAAAAGAAATTCATATTTAAATTTCATCTTTTATACTGACATTACAAATGGTTTATTTTAAACAAAGGACCGCAGTCTATCTTCACGATTATGGAATAAATCAGCTTGAGTACATGGAAAATATTTGAGTGTATGAGAGTAAAATGTATGAACCAAATCAATACTGTTTGATTATTTCATTTTAAATAGAATTAATTAAAATTATTTTGCGTAATTGTCTGGCATCGTGGAATTTATGGACCGAGGGATTAAATCAATATTCCACATGATTCTTTTATTGTATTATATTAGCAGCACGAGATTGTTTCGATTCCGGAATTAGCTCCGTGATTCGTTTAATCGGGACAATGAAACGTAATTAACGGACGCGTCGCATGGAAATCAATTAACGCCGATAAATATCAGTAACCGTAGAGTAACGAAGCGGTATTGTCTCGCGTCACGTGTTACTATCTCGCGTAAACGGTATTGATTGAACTGGCGGTGAAAAAGGAGCGGCGAGTTCAAGATAAATCAGACGAAACTCCCAGTTCTATTACGATTCCCGAATGAATGCTCAACACGCGTGTGCATCCTCCTTTCACGGCAATCTGTTGCCGCGGTTCAGACAGATTCGTCACGTGAACCGGATTCACCGGCGGAAAACGAACGGAGATTCGATTAACGGCGATATCTCTTCGAGCTCCGCGGCATGACCGAGTTGATGAATGGAAACGATAGCCAACGGAGACAGCCAACAGTAAACTATATATCTTGCCCTCCCCAACGATAACGTATCGCTGCACGTTTTTATAGATGATTCCACATTTCCGCGTATGCCGATTTAACTGCTGCGAAACCATTGATAAATTTCACGACCGCTGGTTCAGCCATGTGCAGGTAATTGGTCGACGTAGATTGCAAGAATACACGTCAGGAGCAACGTGGGTGGGCTAACGGGTAATCTGACACCAAGGGCTCGTTACGTGACCAGCCCTTCCTTCGGTGGTGGTACATCGTGTTACACGCCGGGATTTCGAGTGAATCTGGTAGGCGTGCTCGGTGCCTGTTAAGAATCCTAGGGGGTTTAAGGGAGAAAACGTGTAGGGAACGCGTATCCCATTTCCTCGTTATTAAGCTAGTTATTGCCCTACTATGTTAGTCAAAATAAGATTTAAAAATAAACAGCTACAAAGACTTGGTCTATACTCAAAGCTTATAAAACAATAAATTAAAAATATTACTTCTAATTTTTATTTCGAGCGTCCTGCATATTTACTGCAGAATATTCAATGCACTCGCGTCATTTATAGATGCATAAAAACCCACGGTCTAGCAATTAAATAATTATCTGAATCGTCCATTTCGTATCTTCTAATGAGCAACGTGGGTAGTAATCGCGTTAAAGGTAATTCAGTTATCCCCCGTTGTACTGTACATTTACGTATGAACGTGTCGCGAATTAAGCCCGGTTCTTTCGCGACTCGTTGCACGGGACCCGAAAGATCTGAAGTGTTTTCCCAGTGTTGCGTCAAGCTTTCGACCGTAATCACTGGCTCGAGAGAACCTTTTGTCTCTTCGGACCGGTCCACTCTTCGCACAAGTGCATCCCTAACTCTTTCGCGACCCTTTGTCGCCGAATTCCCATTCTCCTCTAATCCGCTTCGAAAGTCTTGATCGGAGTTCTCCACTTATCAACGTATTTAGGCAACACATGGCTTCCCCATTCTAATAATGCATTACAAACTTCGAACAACATCAAGCCTCTTATTAAACACGACGTATATTTCGCAATAATTTTCGTAATACTTTGAAATTTATTTCATTCTTTAAAAGAGACGCAAGTTAAATCAACGCGGCGAGATTTACTGCTCTTTTCCGCAGCCGTGAAAGTTTCCACTCTTCTTTCAGCGGTACGAACGATTCACTTATATCGTATGCGTGCCGCTTTCAGCTGGTAATTCCATTTCGGGTCTGGCTGGCGATCAACTGCAAACGCGTTCATCCATAGTTTCGGCCCGCTGGGCGAGCCTTTATCGAGCCAGGCGGGCGCGTTATTTTTGGCGGTTGATGTAAACTGGCTGCGCGGATGACGATCGATGATCACATCGTTTTTTCTGCACAACCATCGCTGTGTTACATGCATAAACCGAGTAGTGAGGTCATCGTGTAAACCGGAAGAGAAATAAGCGGACGTTCGACGAATAGAAATTGATGAAAAATAATTCGTGGAAAAACCGATGACTCGTATACGTGACATTGAGACATTTCGAGCCTGCCGCTTTTCCAGACGGGGGGTCTCTCTGTCAGCGTGCAGTTGACTTAGGCTTAGATTATGCTTGTACCAAGCGTTGTGAATACTTAAGCGTTTCTTTGTTATGATCGAGTGCTTATTTTGATAGGAAACGTGTGCACGAGCGAGTATCACATTGTATCGCTGCCGTGGAGTAGATAACAACTCGCCAGCGTGGGAACAGTTTGTTTATCGAGTAACTCGATCACTTCCGACAAAGTAACTGAATTCTTGATCGTTGTCAAGCGACGAGTACGAGCCTACTGAAAAATAATTAAATGTTCTAATAGCAAATATCGAGACTTTCGATCGCCGACCACTCGAGTGTATATTTTCGAAGTAATCGTGGCTAGTCGGCTAGAATCCGAGCCGCGATAGAGCAATCTGAACACTTTGCATGCGGAGTATTCGAGCAGTGGCGTTTGCATCTCGAGTGCAACGCGTCTCGTTC